ATAACTCTTTTTTGTCAACATGGGGTCTCACTTTGTTGCCTAGGTTGTCTTAAATTTGTGGCTTCAAGCAGTCCTCCCACATCAGCCTCCCAAGGTGCTAGGGTTACGTGTATGAGCCACTGCACCAGCCTGTTTTGTTTTCTTAAGTTGACAACTTTTCAGGTCCTGTGGATCAGCGGTCCTTCCTCCCACCTTGCCCACCCTACGGAGGTTGCAGGATGGAATAAAAGAGAGTCCTAGGAACACTTGGGCATCAGCTTCTATGCTCACAGTGCCTCAGGCAGTGTAGAGGGGTCTGGAAGTTACTCAGGCTCTGCCTGGCAACCTGATAGCAGCATCAGAATATAGGGCCAAGGGGGCGGTCCTTGGGCTTGGTGTGGTTAATTAGTCCTTTTTATGTGACCCTGATGGTTTGCTTCACTCATTTTTTGTTTTTTGTTTTGTTTTGTTTTGTTTTTTGAGACTGAGTCTCTCTCTTTTGCCCAGGCTGGAGTGCAGTGGCACATTCCTGGCTCACTGCAACCTTTGCCTCTCAGGTTCAAGCAGTTCTGCTTCAGTCTCCCGAGTAGCTAAGACTACAGACGCATGCCACCACACCCGGCTAATTTTTTGTATTTTTAGTGGACACAGGGCTTCACCATGTTAGTCAGGATGGTCTATATCTTCTGACCTTGTGATCTGGCCGCCTCGGCCTCCCAAAGTGCTGCGGTTACAGGTGTGAGCCACCACACCTGGCCTGGTTCACTCATTTTTTTATCTCCATACTGGGAAGAGGTTCTAGCCCCAGCATTTGGTTAATAACGCAGGAATTCTTGATGCTTTATAGCCCAAGCTTCCCTTCCTGGGGAGTTCCTCCTCGCCTGGGTCTTTGGAAAAGCTCTCTTTGAGTGCTCAGGCAGACTCAGGTGCCCTTTCTTCTGGGCTCCTGTGCACTCTGCTCTTACCTTCATCAGGGCGCCACATGCACCAGCGTTATCTGCTGCCATGGCCACCCATCCACAAGGCCATGAGGAAGTGGAATGTACATCTGGTATACCAAGACATGGCAGAAGCCAGCCTCCAATCTGTTCACACAATGGTGAAGTACATGTGCCATTGTTCACTGGATGAGCTTGAAGTAGATGAACTAGCCCACCAGGCTCTCAACTTCATGAATTTAACATTTAATTAAGAAAAATGTTTTTTAAAAAATAATAGTTTAAGGCCAGGCGCAGTGACCCATGCCTGTAATCCCAGCACTTTGGAAAGCCAAGGTGGGCGGATCACCTGAGGTTGGGAGTTTGAGACCAGCCTGACCAACATGGAGAAACCCCGTCTCTACTAAAAATAAAATTAGCCAGACATGGTGGCGGATACCTGCAATCCCAGCTACTCGGGAGGCTGAGGCAGGAGAATCGCTTGAACCTGGGAGGCAAAGGTTTTGGTCAGCCAAGGTCGCACCATTGCACTCCAGCCTGGGCAACAAGAGTGAAACTTCATCTCATAAAAAAGATGATTACTGGGGTGCTGGGAGAGGAAGGAATGGGGAATAACTGTTTAATGAGTATAGTTGGCTGTCTGTATCTGTGGGTTCTGCATTTGCCATCCAACCAACCATGGATCAAAATATTTGAAAATGAAAACCACAGTAAAACAACAAAAATGATACATATAAAAAACCAATATAACAACCATCAACATAGCCTTTACATTGTACTAGGCATTATAAGTAATCTAGAGATGACTTAAAGTATACGGGAGGATGTGACTAGGTTAGATGCAAGTACTGTACCATTTCATATCAGGGACTTGAGTACCCACAGATTGGGGATCTGCAGATCCTGGAACCCCTTCTCCATGGATACCAAGGAACAACAGCGCTGGGTCTCCCTTTGGGGTGCTGCAGATGTTTTGGAGCTGGATAGAGGTAGTGGTTGCACAACATTATAAATGTACCAAATGCCACCGAATTGTTCATTTTTAAATGGTTAATTTTATGTTATATGAATTTCATTTTAATGACTAATAATAGTATAGGTAAGGCACAAGTTGCATTAGAGGCACAAAAATGGCCCTAATTTTTAAAACGCTGCTCTAGCATAGTAGGTATCATATGTAAGGTAGCAAAAGCTAGAGATCACAGTGTGATACCTGGAGACTTTATCAGTAAAAGTCAAATGATTTTTCAGGTTTTGAGAATCATTCTGGGAATTGTTCCAGAAGATATATTGAATAAATCTTCTTAGATGCTATGATAAGACACCAGGGCTGGGCGCAGTGGCTCATGCCTGTAATCCCAGCACTTTCGAGAGACCGAGACAGGTGGATCATGAGATCAGGAATTCAAGACCAGCCAGGCCAACATGGTGAAACCCATCTCTACTGAAAAAAACAATACAAAATTAACCAGGTGTGGTGGCACATGCCTGTAATCCCAGCTACTCGGGAGGCTGAGGCAGGAAAATCGCTTGAACCCGGGAGGCAGAGGTTGCAGTGAGCCAAGATTACCCCACTGCACTCCAGCCTGGGCAACAAGAATGAAACTCCATCTCAAAAAAAAAAAAAAAAGAAGACAGAAATCAGATGTATACTGTAGTTCATTTCATGTTATTTTCTGGAGCTTTACTCCAGTCAATTTCATGGGGGCAGCGTTTGTGGAATCAGCGGTTCATCTGAAGGGCTGCGCTGTGGAATTACTATGTGTTTGTTTTTGTCTTCCAGTGGACCCAAGCGTTACGACTGGACTGGGAAAAACTGGGTATACTCCCACGACGGCGTGTCCCTCCATGAGCTGCTGGCCGCAGAGCTCACTAAAGCCTTAAAAACCAAACTGGACTTGTCTTCCTTGGCCTATTCCGGAAAAGACGCTTGATACCCAGCCCAGTTTTAATGACATTAAAAGCTGTCAGGCCAAGACCCCAGCTTCATTATGCAGCTGAGGTCTGTTTTTCTGTCTTTTTTTTTTTTCCTGCTTTTGAGGACAATTGGACTATGTGTCACAGCTCTGTGGAAAGAATGTGTTGCCTCTTACTTTGCCCCCAAGTTGTGATTTTTAATTTCTACGGAAGATTTTTTTGGATTGTCTGATTTTCTCCCTCACATGACATCCCTTATCTTTTATAATGTCTTATGCCTCTACCTGAATATTTTTAAGGTTGTTAACCTTTAAAAAAGCAAAATAATAAGGAAAAATTCCAGGAGAAGAAATGAGTTGTCTTAACTTTTCATTTTTTGAAGGATTTACTGCAAGAAGTACATGAAGAACAACTGGTCAACCTGCTCACTGTTCTGTCTCGAAATGAGACACATTAAAGTGTAGTCTACAAATGTTCCCTGGCTTCTTTCAAAGTGTAAGCCCTTCTGAGCTCTTTAGTATTGAAGTATTGAAAGCAACTCACATGAGAAGCCCATTTCTTATTTGTGCTTTGTGACTGCCAGGGTGTGGCCTGCACTGGGTTGTCCAGGGAGACCTAGTGCTGTTTCTTCCACATATTCACATATCTGTGTGTGTGTGTGTGTATACATACATATATATTTTTTTCTTTTTTTAGTTTAAGGGTTATTATGGGATCAGCTGCTACAAGAATGCAGAAAAATCTTCCAAAGACAAGAAAGGAGGGAAAAAAGCCATTTTCATGAGCTGAGTGATATAGTGTAATAAACAAAATCACGGAGCTGAGGAGGTGCCTTGTAAACATGAAGGGGCATATAAAGGAAAGAGATACTCATGTTGATAAAAAGAGCCCTGTTCCTAGACATAGTGCAGCCACAGAGTAGTTGCCCCTTTGTGGACAAGTTTCCCAAAATCCCTGGACCTCTGCTTCCCCATCTGTTAAATGAGAGGATATAGCAGGGTTGATTCCCAGCATTCAGTGGTCCTGGAAGCAGCCTAACAGGCTAGCCGTCATTCCCATTGGGTAGATGAGGGGATGACAAAGAACAGTTTTTAAGCTATATGGGAAACGTTGTTACTGGTGTTGTCCTATCAGGATTTCAGTTGAATTCATGTTAATAGCCAGTCTTTATTGTATCCTTACTGGGTTAAGCCTATTATACCATATTACCTCATTTTAATTTTTACTGACCTGCACTTTATATGTGAAACAACAAGGCTCTGGGACATCAAAACTCATGCAAAGTTATACTCATTTTATATTATTTTCTTACTTAAAGAATGATTTATCAGTGGCTGGTCACTGTGGCTCACGCCTATAATCTCATCACTTTGGGAGGCCGAGGTGGGTAGATCACCTGAGGTCAGGAGTTTGAGACCAGCCTGGCCAACATGGTGAAACCCTGTCTCTACTAAAAATACAAAAATTGGCTGGGTTTGGTGGCACATGCCTATAATCCCAGCTACTCTGGAGGCTGAGGCAGGAGAATTGCTTGAACCCAGGAGGCAGAGGTTGCAGTGAGCCAAGATCTCACCACTGTACTCCAGCCTGAGCAACAGAGCAAGACTCGTCTCAAAAAAAAAGGAAGGATTTATTAGTGACAAGTTTATATTAATATGTAGCAAAGGCTTTTCAATGGGTGAATGAAAACACATTCCATTATAGTAAAATAAAAAAAGTCAAGCTGGGAGCAGTGGTATATACCTATAGTCCCAGCTATTCAGGAGGCTGAGACAGGAGGATTGCTTCAAGCCAGGAATTGGAGATCAGCCTGGGCAACATAGCAAGATCCTATCTTTTTTAAAAAAGAAAAACTCTTAATAAATAAAATATTTAAAATAAGTAAAATATTTTCTTTCTTCTGAAATAAAATTATTGTTTGAGTCTGATGGAATTGTTTAAGTGCAGTAGGCCAGTACCAGTGAGAAAATAAATAAAATTGTGTGTGTGTGTGTGTGTGTGTGTGTGTGTGTGTGTGTGTGTGTGTGTGTGTGTGTGTTTATTTGCATCTTGCTTCTGAGGAAAGAGACCCAAGCATCTAGAATCCCCTCTGCCTTGGCTTCCACACTGCATTTTAATAGAAGAAAAGGCTGGCCAACTGGAGCCTCCTTAATCACCTTCCTATAGATAGCAGGCATAGTATGGGGGAATCTCTCTGGAAGGCAAAATTTTTACTTAAACAAGATCAAACCCCCATCCCATGCCTACTCCATGGACCAAGACTCTTTCACGTGTAATATCTAGAGTTGTAAGCCTACATAAAGGCAGAGCTTTTCTTTGTTAGATGAGCTTGGCTGTTAGACAACTATGTTACCTTGCTCCCAGCCGAATAAATCACCTGTTCCTTCGTAGTTCGGTGTCCAAGAGGTCTGTTTCTCATGGCTGCTCTTGCTTCACTTCTACTGAAAGTTTCATTGCACCCCACTTACTTAGAACTTATTGGGCTATTCAGGGTTTCGACTTCTTCCTGATTTAGGCTTGGGAGGATGTGAATTTCCAGGAATTTTTCCATTTCTTCCAGGTTTACTAGTTTATGTGCATAGAGTTGTTTGTAATAATCTCTGATGATGGTTTGTATTTCTGTGCAATCTGTGGTGATATCCCCTTTACCGTTTTTTATTGCATGTATTTGATTATTCTCTTTTCTTTTTTATTAATCTGGCTACTAGTCTATTTTGTTGATCTTTTTGAAAAACAAGCTCCTGGATTTATTGATTTTTTGAAGGTTTTTTTGCGTCTCTATCTCCTTCAGTTCCGCTCTGATCTTAGTTATTTCTTGTCTTCTGCTAGGTTTTGAGTTTTTTTCATCTTGCTTCTCTAGCTCTTTCAATATTGACGATAGGGTGTTGATTTTAGATCTTTCTTTGCTTCTCATGTGGGCGTTTATTGCTGTATATTTTCCTGTATACACTGCTTTAAATGTGTTCCAGAGATTCTGGTACACATTCTGGTTGTGTCTTCATTCTTGTTGGTTTCGAAGAACATCTTTATTTCTGCCTTCATTTCATTGTTTATCCAGTCAACATTCAAGAGCCAGTTCAGTTTCCATGAAGCTGTGTGGTTCTGTGTTAGTTTCTCAATTCTGAGTTCTAACTTGATTGCACTGTGGTCTGAGAGACTGTTTGTTATGATTTCCATTCTTTTGCATTTGCTGAGGAGTGATTTACTTACAATTATGTGGTCAATTTTAGAGTAGGTGTGATGTGGTGCTGAGAAGAATGTATATTCTGTGGATTTAGGGTGGAGAGTTCTGTAAATGTCTGTTAGGTTTGCTTGGTCCAGGTCTGAGTTCAAGTCCTGGATATCCTTGTTAATTTTCTGTCTCATTGTTCTGTCTAATATTGAATGGGGTGTTAAAGTCTCCCACTATTATTGTGTGGGAGTCTAAGTCCCTTTTTAAGTCATTAAGAGCTTGCCTTATGTATCTGGGTGCTGCTGTATGGGGTACGTATAAATTTAAGATCGTTAGCTCTTCTTGTTGCATTGATCCTTTTACCATTATGTAATGTCCTTCTTTGTGTCTTTTGATGTCTGTTGGTTTAAAGTCTATTTTATCAGAGATAAGAATTGCAACTCCTGCTTTTTTTGCTCTCCATTTGCTTGGTAAATCTTCCTCCATCCCTTTATTTTGAGCCTTTGTGTATCTTTGTATGTGAGATGGGTTTCCTGGATACAGCACACCGATGGGTTTTGGCTTTTTATCTAATTTGCCAGTCTGTGTCTTTTGGTTGGGACATTTAGCCCATTTACATTTAGGGTTAATATTGTTATGTGTGAATTTGATCCTGCCATTTCGATACTGGCTAGTTGTTTTGCCCGTTAGCTGATGCAGTTTCTTCATAGCATTGATGCTCTTTACCATTTGGTATGTTTTTGGAGTGGCTGGTACTGGTCATTCCTTTCTATGTTTAGTGCCTCTTTCAGGAGCTCTTGTAAAGCAGGCCTGTGGTGGTGAAATTTCTGAGTACTTGCTTGTTCATAAAGGATTTCATTTTTCCTTCACTTATGGAACTTAGTTTGGCTGGATATGAAATTCTGGGGTTATAAGTTCTTTTCTTTAAGGATGTTGAATATTGGCCCCCGCTCTCTTCTGGCTTGTAGGATTTCTGCTGAGAGATCTGCTGTGAGTCTGATGGGCTTCCCTTTATGGGTAACCCGACCTTTCTCTGGCTGCCCTTAGCATTTTTCTCCAGCATTTCAACCCTGGTGAATCTGATGATTATGTGCCTTGGGGTTGCTCTTCTTGAGGAATATCTTTGTGGTGTTCTCTGTATTTCATGAACTTGAATATTGGCCTGCCTTGCTAGGCTGGGGAAGTTTTCCTGGATAGTATCCTGAAGAGTATTTTCCAGCTTGGATTCATTCTCTCCCTCACATTCAGGTACACCTATCAAATGTAGATTAGGTCTTTTCACATAGTCCCATATTTCTTGGAGAGTTTGTTCATTCCTTTTTACCCTTTTTTCTCTAATCTTGCCTTCTCATTTTATTTCATTGCAGTAATCTTCTACCTCTGATATCCTTTCTTCTGCTTGGTCAGTTCAGCGGTTGAAACTTGTGTATGCTTTGTGAAGTTCTCGTGTTGTGTTTTTCAGCTCTGTCAATTCACTTATATTCCTCTCTAAGTTGTTTATTCTCGTTAGCATTTCCTCAAATCTTTTTTCAAGGTTCTTAGTTTCTTTGCATTGGGTTAGAACATGTTCTTTTAGCTTAGAGAAGTTTCTTATTACTCATCTTCTGAAGCCTGATTCTGTCAATTCATCACACTCATTCTCCATCCAGCCATGTTCCCTTGCTGGTGAGTGGTTGTGATCCCTTGTAGGAGGAGAGGTGTTCTGGTTTTGGGTGTTTTCATCCTTTTTGTGCTGGTTTCTTCCCATCTTTGTGTATTTATCCACCTGTCGTCTTTGTAGTTGTTGACTTTCAGACTGGGTCTCTGAGTGGATGTTCAGTTTGTTGATGATGAAGTTATTTCTTTCTGTTTCTTAGTTTTCCTTCTAACATTCAGGCCCCTCTGCTGGAGGACTGCTGAGGTCCACTCCAGGCCCTTGTTGCTTGGGGATCACCTGCAGTGGCTGCAGAACTGTAAGGGATGCTGCCAGTTTCTTCTGCTATCTTTGTCCCAGGAGGATACCTGCCAGCTGTCAGTCTGAGCCCTCCTTTATGAGGTGACTCTTTGGATATATGGGGATCAGGGAGCTGCTTGAGGAGACAGTCTGTCCTTTATAGGAGCTCGAGTGCTGAGCTGTGAGCTCCATTGTTAATTCAGAGCTGCTGGGCAGGTATGTTTAAGTCTGCTGCAGCAGAACTCATAAACTCCCCTTTTTTTTCCCGGGTGCTCTGTCCCTGGGAGTTAGGGCTTTATGAATTTCTGTTGTGCTGCTGCCTTTTTTCGGGGCTGCCCTGCCCAGCAAGGAGGCAGCCTAGTCACTG